TACTTTTTTCTCTATTATACTGTCGGCGTAAGCATATGACTGAATTGCATTTCAGTTCCTAGCCTCCATTTTCTTTTGGCATCTAGTAATCTTTTCATCATTATTCTTCTGACTTATACAATTTTACAGAATTTTTCTCTCACCGAAAATTCCTTATCTTAGATTAGAAATTCATTTTCTTGGAGCCAAAAGCCTTCCGTTTGAGAATCACTGTCTTAAAAGTTCAGGTAGAAAAATATACAAAAAGAATGAAAATATATTGAAAAAAAAATTTCCGTAAAGTAAAAATACAACTTTGAGGGATATAATGCAAGGAAGGCTATAAAAAAATGAAATAAATATTTGCAGATGATATATAGAAATAATATTCTTTGCAAAAAATAAAATGGCTACCAAATAAGCCGTATGTTCAAGCCTGTAAAAACTGATTTAAATAAAAAGAACTCTAACAGACAAAAAAGGATATTAAATTTCATTTAATTAATCAGAGGAGAAACATGAAACATTGATCCTGTTGTCGAAATTCTTATTTAATTCAAATTCTGTTTATTTTCACATCACAGAAAGCTACAGTGTGGTCCGAAATTCTTGTCATCCTTACATAATTTAATTTTCTATATCAGATGGCTGATACGGACTCCAATAGTTTAGAAGAGAGGCTGCTTGCAAGTGTATGGACACATGATCGTCTGCCTTCTGGCAAGAGCATGGAGGATGTGCAACGTGACTTCACTGCAAAATTCAGTAAGCCAGCTCCTCCGAAAAGGACGATACTGCTATGGGAACATAAAACAATTTCTTACAGGATCAATTAAAGACAAACCGAGGACATGGCGACCCTCAACGCGAAGGGTCATATGTGCAAAGGTGGATATATCTTTGCTACGATCAGCCAAGAAGTCACTACTTGTTCTTTCGTTCTCATTACTTTCGGACAACCCTGTATATTCCTTTCTTTGCCAAGAGAGCTCATGATATATTTCCGAAAAAAGATACTAGCATTGTTAATGGAGGTCAAGGATATATAATCCTCTTTCTAAAAGTTGTATTAGAATACAGAACATTGAAATGGAATGCGTCTTGTTCTTTAGATTCAACCACAAAGATTCAAGAATAGAAAAAAATGTTTTTCTTTTAATCTTTTACAACATATTCATGTTTTTTTTTTTTTAAATCTTTTTTTTCTTCGTGTTTTGGAATCTTTCATTGAACGTATAGAAACATTGGATAGATTTATTTTAATTTACGTAGGCAAACAATACCATATTCTTTTTTTTTATTACAATAGAATATTATAAATATTTTTCTAGTTTAACCATATTATTCAGTAAATAAAGAATTCCTATTTTTTATTTTACGAAACGTTGAAACAATAAAATATAGCGATCTATAATTAGCTTTGTAAGTAAGATCTTGGCTGTTATATCAATGGGACATTTCTTATTTTATCACACTGATTGCAAAACCCATTTTAAATAAAGTATAAAAATATGCATACAGTAGGAGATAAAATGGTTTTGATTAATATATACCCGGCGGATTAGTAAATGAGAAGACTTGCTGTGTTAATGATATTCTATTAAAACAGATAAAAACTTACGAATTTATTTCTACATTGCATTCAAATTAAAAAAAAAATGTCTTCATATTTATATATGCAGTGGCGAACAAAAGTAAATTATATTTGTATTATTTCATGATGTAATTTGGTGCATAACTTATGAATCTATAGATTCTTGATAGAATCCAAAGACAATTCCGCTATGTTATCAGCTCTGACCTGGTATCTCGATTTCAGTCACTTTTTCATGTATCTTTGCTATAAATGCCTTCATAATAATTAATCTTATGAACGTTCTACTTTTTCTATTCATTGGAGTTTGATATTTTATTTGTTTTTAATTTTGATTCCTTACGAACAAATTGTACATATGGGAACTCGATAGGACTTCATATAAACTTTGATGTCTTATGGTGGCTGTAGTAAGAACTATACACATGTTTATAATTTCAAAGTAAAGAGTACTTTCTTCTTTGGTCTACATTACGAATTTAAACACAATACAAGATTGGCAGGTAGGTCTCAACATTGTAATATTGGAATTGGCAAGTATAATCATAAATTATATGCAAAAAATGTATTCTATGCTAATAATAGTTCTTGCTTGTGGAATTCTCTTCCGACTTCTTGCTTTCTTGTTCACGTTAACCTTCAAAAATTTAAAGGCAACGTCAATCGCCATCTTTGTGTCTATTTAAAAGCTGAATTTTCATTGTTTTCTATCTCCTTAATAAGATTTTCTCAGTTTCTTTCACTGCCAGTACCCCCCTTAGATCTTAGTGGCTTTATTGCCTTGATTGTGATGAAATGATAAAATAAACATGCTTGAATATTATAGTGCTGAGGCGTTTTACCTAAATATAAAGCAGATTATTTTTAATCATTTGTTCACAGAACTTCACATTTTTTTACAAAACAATATATATATATATATATATATATATATATATATATATATATATATATATATATATATATAAAATTTATTTTCTACGTCCAAGAAATAGTGATAAAAATCGGGCTGTCAATTCAGTCAGTCAGTTATGTGACATGCGTGATACAGGCTTAGGCGATCATGTATCTTTCGATATATGACTAACGAGGCACATTTTTCCTGATTAGGTTACCATTTCTTTCTGCGGTAGACCAGTTGCCATCCGTGGCTATAGAACCCAGTCTGTCCAGTTATTTACCCATAGCTGAGGGGAGAAGAAGAAGATTCATACCTTTCCCAAGGGTATTAGCATGTAATGGATTCGACTGGAATACATTTCAGTATCTGTCTATATTTCTGAGATGAGGTATTATGTACATTATTTACATTATTCGGACTATTGCCCTCATCTTTGTCGCCATATTTATTACAACGTTTCGGCCGTTGTACGTTCCGGGTTTCTTCAGGTGGTTGGAATGTCGAACTGAACGCTTTATTTCGCTCACTGGGGTAGACTGTTCTAGTTCCACGTTCCATGTTTAATGGATGTCAGCTATCAGTTATCTCCTGTTAATTTCTCTCAAGGACATAAGTCAATATGTCTAAATTGAAAAAAAAAGGGTGACCTAGATAAAGGCCCGTCAAAATTAAAACTCGAAAATCAGAATTAGATATCCTAGTTCTTTTAGTGACATCTAACTGCGACCTCTGGTACGGTATTTACTCGCCTCTCAACAGTGGTGGCATGTACACGAATTCGTTTTTAATATCGGGTGCTCACCAGCGAACATTCGGGTCATGGGAAAAAAAATTCCTAAACACGGTAACCACTGTCACCCTGGCGCCGGTATTTAACCGAATCAGCATATTTACTACAATGAGGCAGATTTGAAATTCCCAAGATCAATAATCCCTCAAATCTTTACTGTGATTCTTTTTTTTAAAAAATCACCCCCGCCTCCCCAGGAAAGGCAATAACGGCAGTAAAGAAATCAAGACGGTTAGTAGGTGTGAAAGAATACCAGAAAAACAAGGAACATTAGTAAGTAGCGAGAACAAAAAAAGAATAATATCCAAGAAGACAATAAATAACAATAAACATTGCATTGACAATCAAAGTTGGTTAGAGCTCGGAAGAAGAGTTTCTTAGACGCAAAGCGCTATAAAAGGAGGGGTTAACATAGAACTTACGATTACATCTAGCCATTTGAACTGTAAAATGATGAGATCTTACTACCAGTCTAGTACTGCGCTTAAATACATATAAACGAGGTATCATAGAGGACAATTGATGAGGACACTTACTATGAAAGTATTTATAGAAAAAGCACAGAGAAGCTACATTATAGATGTGGGAAAGGTACTGTTCGGGATGCCAGGTCAAGACCAATAACATTCCACATACTTCTTTATATTTCATCTCTAAATAAGGATCACTAGATCATATGTGACAGCAATATTCGAAGCATAGACAAATGGTAGACTTAAAAATATGTAGGATAGATTCTGAAGAAAAAAAAATCTCGCATGACACAGAGAACCAACTTTCCTTGGAACGGGCTTATCAGTTGATTCAATATAATCATTTCACTTCATGTCAGTAGAGAACGTTCACCTGAGAATGCGCAACGATTCATTCTCCTGAGGGTTAGCATCAGCCATGCTGACTGAAAAAAGAAAGTCGTCATTAAGCTGATTATTAGAGAGTGGTTAAACAGAAACATGGCCGAAGAATAGAACGCATACTACACACTGATCATAGCACAAAGTTATTGCGCATGCGTACAACTTCGAGCTCTGGCACTGGTGAAAACATGTCACTGTATCAATCCCGTTTCAAGTCTGATAATTCGATCAAACCTAAGCAGACAACGTAAATATTATTTGATTCTATATTCGTTTTATTGCTCTTAATAGATGACATACTTTTTGACCAAAGAACTTGTTTGTATTACTCTCAACCAATGTTGTTTAATAAAGGAGATTGATAGACGGAAAAATCCAATTAGAAAGCCATGACTTGTCAGACCATATCAGAGAGACATAAGCCTATGGCAACTGACACAACAATGTTGTTTTGCATAAGTTCTTCACAAATGACTAATCACAAAGCAGGATACCTTTCCCTCAAAATCTAAAAGTATATCATTTAATTCGGCCCAGAAACCAAAAACGAATTTATGTTGAACGATCAAATAATAATCGAGGTTTCGAAATAAAAGTCCTAACTAGATTCCTAAGAATAAACTTTCGAAATTTGATATTAAAGAGAAAACATAGATAAAGATTTTAATATTTATTTAACCCTTGGTTAACAGGACCTCATCAGTACCGTACCGTTTTCAAAGAGTCCATTTAAAATAATAACTACATCATTTAGCCTTTAATATCCTTGTTATATTCAGGTTTGGATTTTATTTCTATTTTTTTTATAAAATAAATAAATTAAAAAATAAACTTGTTTCTTATAAGTCGAATGAAAAGGCCAGACTTAAGGCCTTACAAAATAGAAACACCTGTTTCTGTACGATCACCGAATTTAAGCAACGTCAAGCCTGGCCAGTACCTAGATGGGTGACCACATGGGTGTACCAGGTGTTGAAAGTATGGATGTGCGAGTGGTGTAATGGATAACAGTTTGAAATTGGGAATCAGAAGGCCAAGTTCCAATTCCAATTGTGTTTATTCTGTTCACTTAGGAGCAAATACAATTATGGAAGGCATGAAACCACATCTTCTCCCCCATCTATGAGTCAATTAGTAAGACTTGTATCACTAAATGATCATCTCAAAAAAATTCTTACTATGTAAAAATATTTTTGACTTTAAATAACTTGAAAAGTGTCGATAAACCGTAAAAACAAATCAATGAAATCAAATTTTAAAAAAAGTCCAGCATTAAAAAAGTTAATTTTAATATATATATATATATATATATATATATATATATCATTTTATTTTCAGTGTGCTCTTTGAAAACAATGTATTAGCAATCTAAAACCCTTTTTAAATGTTTTTTCACATTCCAAGCTATAAACATGAAAGCTGCTGAAATATCTGCATATGATTCTACCAGAATGATGATAGTATTTGCCGTCATACGCTTGTAATTCAGACAAATAGAGGAAATCCTTGTATTTTATTTTTATTTAGAAAAGCTAATTTCGTAAACATTAAAATTTGTCTTATTGCTTATCAAATATTAAAGAAAGTTATTTTGTGGCGTTTTAAATTAAAAAAAAATGTGTTGTGAACAAATACTCTACGGTCGTAAGGCCGAATTATGAGACCATCAGTAAATATCTATGCAAATGATACAACAGCCTATGCATATTACTCGATTAGTGTGGTAAAACATTCTTCAGTTTGACTATAGTAATTGAAAATTGATTTTTTTATAGTTACCGACTAATTAAAAATTTTCTAAAATTTAAATATAGAAAATGGGTAACAGTTTTGTTTTTCAAGTATTACATTATCTAAGGTATTACAGTTATGTTAAAAAGATGGACTGTTATAAATCGATCAATTGTTTAATATAAACCGATAATAAAATTACATATTTGAATATTTGTCTCGATTCAATTTTTTTTTTAATATTTTGATTTTTTCATGTTCATTTTGAAGGTCTTTTGAAGGAAATTTCTGATTTTTTCTTTTAAAAAATGAACAATTTAATTAGGTAGAGAAATTTACATTTATTAAATAATATTGAAATATAAAAGATGTATGAATTTGTTATGGAAAGATTATACATAAAATGTTCATGTTAAAATACTAATAATTACTATATGTTTAAAAAATCTGAAGGGCAATTTCTCTGTACCGCCAATTATATGAAGATTAGAAGAATACCATATATATATATATATATATATATATATATATATATATATATATATATATATATATATATATATATATATTAAGAATAGAGAATACTATGCGACAATTGACACTAAATAATTTTTCATTAAAAAATCAGATTAATAAACATTCATTAATAGCATTTCATTGTATCTTCTTATATGAGGTTATATTTTAATTAAAAAGTACGCAAATTAGAAATTAATTGTGAATGTGACTAAAATTTGAAGTACAAATTACATAATTTCCTATAAGTTATTATAATCGATTAAAGAGTTTTCGATTAGTACGTATGTTTTAATCTACACATGAGGCGCACTAATGGATGAATTTGTGTACGCATTAGCTGCACTAATCGAGAGATTTCTGTACCGATGCCAGCATGACAATGGCCGCGGGGAAATTGTCTTGGGCCCATAAGTTTGAGAGTGTCGCTACCCAATTTAAAACGATCGTTTGTCACATTCAATTGTGGCGGGAAGGGGGTAAATATATTCGACAAAGACCTAACAGTCACACAGGGAGGACTACGTTGTAACATTCAATTCTCCCAAAAGCCAGCTCGTAGCGTTTCTTCATGATCAAAAGGACGACAAATTTTCGCCTACCATAACGAAATGTACATTCAAGAAAGAAAAATCAGCTTTGAACATCTGCTGAAATGCAAATTAACCACAAATGGAATGCATATATACGATCCACCGCTAAAGATTCTGGAATGCATTGTCTATTCTTTGTACCAATTCAAAAACTTACACAAATTCTTCCATCTTTACAAGAGTCAGATCAGACCAAAAATGAAGTATATTTCATACTTCCTAATTTCCCTTCTTTGATAGAGTTAAAATGACTGCGCCGCCTTGTGGGTAATGATTTTTTTCTTCTCCAGAACCCTTTTCTAGTCCTGGGTATGACGATAAACTTCGTCTGACGGTAAGGCCTTTGATCGAGAGACTGGTGGTTTTTAGGAGCGTGGAACCACCTCTTAATTGCTGTTGTTCCCAGGTCTACTCTGACCCAGGGTTGTAGCACCTGTAAGGGTCCCAGCTATGGGCAAATACTTAACCCTCCAAACAAAACCAAATCTGTATGAAAGTATAAAATACATTTTATAGTAAAAGTAACAACAATATGTTTTAATAAAAAATACCTAAAATTGCCAACAATATATATATATATATTGGTAAGGAGGAAGTTCTACTTCTTCTCCAGAAAAAGTTCTGGGTATAACGATAAACTGGATTCAGCAGCAAGGCCTCTGATCGAGAGATTTGAGTTTTTGAGGAGTATGGGAATAACTTTTAATTGTTGTTATTTCGAAGTCCATTCTGATCCAAGATGGTAACACCTGTCCAAGCCCTAGGCAAATAGTGACTACCCCACACCACAAAAAACACTATGAAAGTACAAAAATACATTTTACCAACAAATTACCAACAATTAGTTTTTAAAGCAAAATGATCAGAAATACAATTTTATAGAAAATAACCAATAAAATTTTTTATTTTAGCTGAAGGTATAGAAGTGCGTTCAAAATATTTAGATTTCAGGATTAACTAATCAATACAGATTGATATATCGTTTAACAAAATCAACCAAACAAGGCCTTTACCCCAGACGAAACCCTATTGCTATTTCCAAGGCAGATCTTCTAAACAGCAGCATTTCTTACATCGGTTAATTCAGACCTTCACCGCAAAGACACACCTTACACCGTACACTGGAAGGGATCATTCTCTTCGTCTTCTATCGATAAGAATGAGTTTCCATTCAAACAGATTCGTTCCAAGAACGTCTTCTTTGAGAATCTGATTCCCGAGAGGCTGCTGACTAGATTGCTATAATCTTAACCGCTTCAAGTCTTGGGATAACCGATATCTTTCCAACATATCGTCATAATCTTTTCTTATTATCTCATGCAATGACGTCATTGCATAAACCTCCGCTCTGAATGATTCCTGGAACTTGTATTGGTTGAACAATAATAAAAAAGCCATTATTATCTATGTCTTGAAGCAAGGTGACATTAATTGAAAAGTTGTTCTTTTGTATATCTATATACCAACGGCGAGCATTAAATTCATTTCAAATATAATGATTTTAATCTAACTCAAATCTCTGGGTGAGGAATTATTGTGTACGAATCTGCAGTAATTCATTCAGTATTCCTGGATTTCTTGAAAGCAGATTGTGAAGATTGTAAAATGGTTCTGCAAATAGAACTTGGAACAATTCAACAGAAATTAAAAGAAAACTTAACTTCTTCAATTCAAGGACAGATATCTAAATCCATATTCAGGACACCTCGAGACGGTATAATGGCTAGCAAGCTTGTCTCGTTAAAACGATTACGACTGATTAGTGAGTTCGATCCTCATTGGGTGTCCCCTACTTTCGGCCTTTTGCCACATCTAAGCTACGCTTGGAAAATCGCTATAAATCTATATTCAGCTAAAATAAAAAATATTTTGGCACCAGAAGTATACCATTAGATTCCTTTTTGTGTTGATATTTCTACAAGGAAGCCATAGCAAATTGTTCAAATTTAAGGACCTAAGTATTTACGTATTTAAAGAAAAGACACAAGGAATCTGTATTAGGACGTTGGGAAAATGAATAAAGCCGAGATCCTAGGTTAGGACCAATAAAATTGCAATTTTTTTTAGAGATTTTATCTCTAAATATATAGCAGGAGCGCAAGGACATATGCAACAGTAATATTGAAAGCATTGACGAATTTTAGGCTTACAAAATATGTAAGATAGATTCCTGAGAGAAGACCTCTCTCGCACAACACAGCGAAACTAACTTTCCTAGCAATTGATTTAATATTATTCTCCCACTTCATACCAGCCGAAAATGTTAACTGGCTAAGGGACAAAGAGTAACTGTCCTGGAGGTTAGCATCAGTGATATTGATGGAAGGCGGAAAGGGTTCTGTCAGATAATAAGTAGAGATCTGTTTTCTTATAGAGGCGTTGACATTAACAAGCCATTCTTTGCCCCAGTTAACAACAACTGCTTGTGTTTTTTGGAGATCAGCCGTTAATTTCACCTTATCGAACTGATCAGACTTAGTATCGAGACATGGGTAGTGTCATCAGCATTAGATACCAATTTGTAGTCCTTTGATGACGTTCGCCTGGAAACTTCACTCCCCCTGGATGTTAGCATTAGTCGAGCTGATGGACGGCCCGATGTGATCATTATGCTGATTAATAGAGAGCAGTAAAACAGAATCACGGCAGAGGAATAGAACATATACTACACACTGATCCCAGCCCAAAGACATTGGACATGTGTTCAACATCGAACTCTGCCCCTGGTGAAAAAAATGTCACTATACCAATACCGTGACAAGACTTATAATTCGATCAACCCTAAACAATCAATGTAAATCCTGGTTGATTCTACCATTGCTTTATTGATTTTAACATATGAAAACTATTTGGCACCGGAAGTGTACAATTAGATTTCTTTTTATGTTGATTTCTTTACAGGCTCGCTATACCAAATTGTTAAAATTTAAAGATCTGTGGAAACGCTGAAAAATTCTCTGACGGACTCACTTCTCTGAATCTGACTAAGCATCATAGTTTTCCAGCTTTTTTTGTCAGGCCGAAAAATATTCAAGTCCACCTCTTATAATCTGCACCTCCTATAACAATAATCACAAACACAATATTAAAATCTTACATTGGTCATACAAGCACCACACACTCGTGTAGGTTAACTT